GTGGTCAAACACTAATGGTATGCAATATTGTATTTATCCTCAACGGCATCAATATTTTCAACCTGAGCTGTCTCGGATGCCGTGAGGTATTTTTTACACTCAGTGTAAGTGTGCAAGACCTTATCCCACAATTCTCGAATTTCTGATAGACGAATTTCGAGGCTGCAAACTGTGAAATGTGTGGCATCAGTTTGTTCAAAATAGTCTACACTCTTCAGAACAATGTCAGCGGCTCTAGTAAAACGTGTGAGCGGAGTGATCGACATTGTGTTGCTAAATTTATAACAATAACAATACAAACGGTATGCAAAACAAAGAAAATTCGAACAAGGGTTGCTATTGTTGAAAGGAAAAGAGAAATTTTGCAAAACTAAAAACCTCCAAATACTTCAAGAAAGTTATAAATATTGTTCAATAGGAGAGAAATTAAGAAAATCTTTTCCTATGTGACAAATATTACTAAAATTGCTCCAATATCAATATATTAAGAAAATGAATGCTTTGGTTATGCCAACGATAGGGTGTTTTTTCAAAATGTATGACAAATTTCCAAAAATTTACACCAGTACGATATTTATACAAAGATAGTCGAAATGTGCTGCAAATTGAGTAGCTCTACAGAATATCTAATGCAAATTTTGACAAGATTATGCCGAAAGTAGGGTGTATTCTTCCAAAAAATACCCAAACCCTACAGATATTCACAAATAGTACTAACAACTATTAATAAATTGCCCAAAGAATTGAAGAAAATAGCCACAAACTAAAAGTTTCAACGAATATATTTTTTTCTGGAATATGTGCAATAAATGCCGAATGTAGGGTGAATTTGTCCAAAAATTCTAAAAACCCTACGTAGAGTTGCAAACGTTAAATAATATTTAAAAATTTTGCAAAACTAGCCAAAAAACGATAGATTTTCACTAATATTTGTTGCTAAATGTTTCGGCAAAGAATGCCGAATGTAGGGTGAATTTGTCCAAAAATTCCAAAAACCCTACAACCACTTGATAATATTTCAATAAATTATCAAAAACTAGATTCTAAAATAAATTCATACAAAATACAAAAATTAACAATTTTTACTGTTTTACCCCACTGTGCCGTAACCAACAACGGATATCGCACAAAGAGGAATAAAACACAATCGACGTCGACTATGCGTAAGCAGCTACGCACACACAACAAGCGTCGCCACAAACGATCCAACAGTGAGAGTTGGAGATCAAAACAATTTGTTGTTATTTTTACTGTATATCAAACCGACGCTAAAAAGGGCGCGTGGAATGATGAAGTATTTTTGTTGCAATTTTTGGCAATGCAAATTCTCAAGTGAGAATTGATCGACGAATAGAAACAAACGAAGAAGAATTGCAACAACAATAAATGCGCGTTGGCGACGACGACAAAGTTATCAACCGACAGATAGATGCACTGTTATTACAAGAGTGTTGTTATTGTTAATTAGAAACAAACAATTCTCGTTAAAGGGCCCAACCTTTGAAACGTGAAGGGGGATAACAACAGCTATCGTTTGGTTGGTGAGAAATTGAACAACAAATAAACCAAACGACGAAATATAAAATAATGTGAATGTATGCTGTGGTGATGTACCAATGTGGTGATGCAAATTTTTCTTCAACTAAGGCCAGGGAGTAGGGCAACAACGAGGGGAACAATTTTTGTCAAATGAGACTTTTTTTCTCACAAAGTGTTCATTTGAAATGAGAGTTAGAAAACGAAACAAATGAACGAAGCGGAACAAGACCACCAAATATTTTTGTATGATCAACGCGACGACGAATGATCAGTACAAAGAAAGCTAATTATTTTTACAACGACAGAACTACTTGTTGTAGGGAAATGCACTTAATTAACACAAGAAGTGTTAATATAAGTCGACCAACTGACTTGTTTCCAAACGAAAGGCAATTGTATGATCAACGCAACGTAGGTTGATCAGTACAATGAATAATATTTTTTTTATGTAAAGACGAGAGTGGACTGTATGTATGTAGCACGCGCGTAAAGTAATTGAAATTCGACCAAACCGAAACAATTTAAATATTCACTAAGATACCGCGGGTAGCTCACTTCAAATGGTAATCTGAATTTACGTACCTGTTTCTTAGTGTTGATGATAATGATGAAAGAGAATCCAATGATTTCTTCATGCAATACAGGGAGCAACGACAAAGGGATGGCTTCTATCCGGCTCGATGCGACCAATGTTTAACTCAGGGGAAGTGGAGGAATGGCTTCGTATAGCGGCAAGAACAAAAACTCCCCAGAGTTGTTATGATGTGAGATGTGAAGTGTGTAGTTGAGGGATTTGGTGAGGTGCGGGTGATACGCGTGTGTGGTGTGTATAAGAAAGACAAAATATAAGAAATAAAAAACAAGAATAATTAGTAATAATTCTAGATTAAATGCATGTTTTATTGTTGTTCTTTCTTTTCGTACAAACAATCAAAATTACCTTAAGTAATTGGGGTGGCGACAGAGGCCGTGTGTTTATGCTTCCGTTTCTACGAGACAAGTGAACGCAGAGGTTCTAAGTGACCGCAGAGGGTCCCATGCCTGTATATTATTACAACTACAACTACTTCCAATGAGATCAAGGTGAGCCTACCGCCAAGGAAGTTGTAGAGGAGGTGCCAGTGTGCCAATCAGCATCCGTGATTGAAGAGTATTGGAAAGTTGTGGTGGAACGTATCGAACTTATACAGTTAGTAATAAGGATTGCATCTGGTGACCGAACATTGGTTGTATAGGTACACATTTTACTGTAGCCTCCATAGCTCGATATTAAACATTTTCACGGATTTGCCTAAAAACGAGTATTTGTAGTTCGTAATGGGTTCTAGCTCCGGTGACAGAAAATTGTATATGTAGGTCCATGTTTTCCTAAAGCGCGCAGATAACGGTAACTTCGGATAATCAGTATTATTACGGTTTAATCCATATATTCTAATTTGTGTAAAATTTGGTATTTTTAGTTTATAATGGGGTTAACCAGCGGTGTTAAGACAATATCCATCTTTGTAGTAGGTTCCCGTTTTGGTATGGTCCATATATAACGGCACCACCCAATTTTTTGTTTTTGAAAACTTCTGCGCATTCTCCAACCGATCTTATTGGTATTTTAAATTTAAAGTGGAATACGCGAAAGATGAATAAAATGCCTGGATTTTCTCCCAAAAATATAATCTATAGTGTTCAATCTTTCGATTCCATGGCAAAACTAATCAAAATTTTTAACTCGTTCCTCGCAAAAATATTCCTTTCAATCATTTTTTTTTCAAACAATAAATACATACACAGAATTGGCATTACAGCCATTCGTGAACACCGCTATACAGATAAAATTAGAATGATTATTCTCAAAAAACAAAAATAAATAAATAAACAAAAATAAAATGATAATAATAAAAATGAAGGGATCTATAAGTTACGTATATGAAAATCATTGCAGCAGGCTCTTTTTGAAACGTATACAGTCTCGTTGTATTTTGTAGTTGCAGATTCAGTCTATCAAATGCTTCACAGAAATTAGTATACATTGTGGTCGTTTCTTTTCCTCTGGTAAACAAAATGTGAACACGGCTTGTGTTAAGAAGGTTGGATTGCTTTATTGTTATTATGTCAAATTTTCGTTGTTTTGTTTTTTTTTCTGTCTGTTTTTTTGGTTCTTGCACCAATAAATGCGAGGGACCTATCGCTTTTAACAGAAATTGGCTCATTGTTACTGAATCACGCCAAAATTGTGTGTCTATGATTCGACTGCGAACGATTCCAGTGAAAATTTTATGTTTTAAAAAAACAGACGGTAATGGAATATATATATATATATATATATATATATATATATATATATATATATATATATATATATATATATAGCTTAGGGCGATTGAATACTGGGTATATATATATATATATATATATATATATATATATATATATATATATATATATATATATATATATGTTATCGTGTTATCGTACCTAACTACCATATGGTGGACAGAACTCACCCATCCAGGCGTGTCAGGAAGGACCTGTAGATCTAGAGAGGGAGGTCCAGTGATATAAGAGAGAGCCCCTAGATCATGAACCCTAACAAGCGGGTCTGAATAGCATTCATACTGATGCAGTCGCTGCAGTAGTAAACAATTATAGTATAAATTCCATCCCCGGAGTCCATCCTCCCCCATCCATTGCAGCTGAAGAACGTCGGCTGCCTAGGCAAACCTGGATAGTTTTGGCCCAACTACATTCAGGATGCGGAACGCCTGCCCAGTGTGCGATACAGCTGCATCTTTTTAATTGTCCAGCCAAGCCTACCCAATTCTGTCCAGTGGATCTTTGGCTACAGTCCATAAAGGTAGCAGAATTCTTAAACCTGGACATCGACCCAGATTAATTAGTAAATAAACAACTGAGCACGTTGTCACTGCTACAACGACCAATTTAGTTCCGTTATGTTCCAGATCTATTTATACATTATTTATCACCAAAAGCCATACAAGTGGTGATAAAACACCTCTCGAGGAGTACACCTGGTCACTGATTTGCTGACGGAGCACTTCCCAATGCTTGTGTTGATAATTCTACTGCTGAGCATAACATCAACCCATTTAATGAGGAGTAGTGGTATATCAAGTTTAGTAAAAGAATTATAAATAGCGCAAGGTGTGACATTATTAAAGTCCGCCTCTATGCCGAGGAAGGCTGCCAACGTGAAAGATGAGCTATTTAGGTTTATCTAATATAGCAACATTAGATGGGGAAGCATCACAACCCACATATCATTAGCTAAAATGCCAAAAGTCGTAACTGACGAAAACATAATTGCTAACGATATGCTATTTAGAAATTTAATTCTAATATATGCTGTTGCTCTTAAAGTTTATGTAATTTAAGCAATCTTATTGAACTTAATCTGAATCTAAACGTTGCTGATCATCTTTCAATTTTATTTTTTTTTTTTTTTTCAGAATCGATTTAATGAAAGAAGAAGGAGGTGGAAGCGTAGAGTTAATCTCAGGAGGTAGAGACATTCAAGTGACTGCGCAAAACCTTTTCGATTATATACGTCGTTATACTGAGTATAGATTAATAAAAGCCCAAGAGAAAGCACTTGAGGTAGACGTTTTAATAAATAAATGTGTATACATATCATACTTTTGTATCTTCGATGCTTTTAGGCTATAAGAGATGGAGTTTTTGATGTATTGCCGGATACTTGTATGCAAAGCTTGACTGCTGAAGACTTACGACTACTTCTAAATGGAGTCGGTGACATTAACGTGTCTACGTTGATTTCATATACAACGTTTAATGACGAATCGAGTGAGGGCTCTGACAAACTATTAAAATTCAAGCGGTGGTTCTGGAGCATTGTTGAAAAAATGAACACATTAGAAAGACAGGACTTAGTAAGAACATTTAACATTGTATTGTATATTCTTATCACAACGTATTTTTCCTAAGGTATACTTTTGGACAGGATCCCCTGCCTTGCCGGCATCTGAAGAGGGCTTCCAACCATTGCCTTCTGTCACAATTCGACCCGCGGATGATACTCATTTACCAACAGCTAACACGTGTATATCTCGGCTTTATATACCATTGTATTCCAGCAAATCAATATTGCGTAGCAAATTGCTCTTGGCTATCAAATCAAAAAATTTTGGTTTTGTTTAATTTTTTCGATATTGTTTTCTTTAGACACAGCAGGATGGACAAGTATAAGCTATTTAAGAAATAAATGAATTTCCCTTAAAATATATTTTATGTTATGAAATGAAAAATATTATTTGAAAAAGTTCTATTAATTTAGAACCGCCTCACAAAATATTCATTCCTAAATCTATAAAACTATGAAGTTGGACTTTTTTATAATATTAAAATCTTTTTTTTACACACTTCTTACTAAAATTTATATGGATTTTTGGTTTTAATGCACCAATTTTCAATAAGTATCCTTAATATTAAATTCCATTTGCATCTATATGACCCAATGCATTCATGTTGAAAATAAAATAAAGTTATTACCAATATTATTCATAATAGCATTGATGAAATATATTATTATAAATATGCTAAATAAATAAATGAATATTCGGAATTAATAAAATATTTTTTTAACCAAATTTATGGAATTTTTCATATATCACATTATTTCTTATAGGGAGTGTCAACACCCTATAATTCTCATGTTTTATTTTTTGGATTTTTCAATTATTGGATGTGAATCACAGCGTTACCTAAAATTCGATGTATTCAGTCGACGTTTTTCACCACACAATTTAAACGCATGTATTTATATGAAAGTGATTCCAAACCGAAAATGTTTCGTTATATATTATTGTATTGCTGGATACTTGTATGCAAAGCTTGACTGCTAAAGACTTACGACTACTTCTAAATGGAGTCGGTGACATTAACGTATCTACGTTGATTTCATATACAACGTTTAATGACGAATCGAGTAAGGGCTCTGTCAAACTATTAAAATTCAAGCGGTGGTTCTGGAACATTGTTGAAAAAATGAACACAATAGAAAGACAGGACTTAGTAAGAACATTTAACATTGTATTGTATACTCTTATCACAACTTATTTTTTCCTAAGGTATACTTTTGGAAAGGATCCCCTGCCTTGCCGGCATCTGAAGAGGGCTTCCAACCATTGCCTTCTGTCACAATTCGACCCCCGGATGATACTCATTTACCAACAGCTAACACGTGTATATCTCGGCTTTATATACCATTGTATTCCAGCAAATCAATATTGCGTAGCAAATTGCTCTGGCTATTAAATCCAAAAATTTTGGTTTTGTGTAATTTTTTCGATATTGTTTTCTTTAGACACAGCAGGATGGACAAGTATAAGCTATTTAAGAAATAAATGAATTTCCCTTAAAAATACTTTATGTTATGAAATGAAAAATATTATTTGAAAAAGTCCTATTAATTTAGAACCGCCTCACAAAATATGCATTCCTAAATCTATAAAACTATGAAGTTTAAATATTTTATATTATTAAATCTATTTTTATTTATTTATATGGATTTTTGGTTTTAATGCACCAATTTTCAATAAGTATCCTTAATATTAAATTCCATTTGCATCTATACCCACCCAATGTATTCATGTTGAAAATAAAATGAAGTTATTACCAATATTATTCAAAATAGCATTGATAAAATATATTATTATAAATATGCTAAATAAATAAATGAATATTCGGAATTAATAAAATATTTTTTTTAACCAAATTTATGGAATTTTTCATATATCACATTATATTTTATAGGGAGTGTCAACACCCTATAATTCTCATGTTTTATTTTTTGGATTTTTCAATTATTGGATATGAATCACAGCGTTACCTAAAATTCGATGTATTCAGTCGACGTTTTTCACCACGTTTCGCTGAAGGCTTACGACTACTTCTAAAGGGAGTCGGTGACATTAACGTATCTACGTTGATTTCATATACAACGTTTAATGACGAATCGAGTAAGGGCTCTGACAAACTATTAAAATTCAAGGGCTTAAGTTGAGTTTAGGGGCTATGCTGGGATTGACCTGAAATTTTTACGACGTATAGATCTTTTTAACCTGATTACAGCAAGGTAATTTTTTTGTGGGGGAAATACCCGGTTATTGGACCCGAAAGTTGAGATACAATATTCGGTTTTTATCTGGTTCTACTGAACCGATAACTACAAAATGGAGATAATTTGAAATGGGTCCATTTTTGAGTTTTTATGGGTTTTTCAAAAAGCACTAGTAAAAAATATCAATTTTCTTGCATTACTCTGGAACCGGTTCTAGTAACCCATCATGTGAACCCTTGATAGGTATTTTCATAAGCTTTCAAATGATACCCTTTTTGCAGGTATCGGTTCAGTAGAACCGGATAAAAATATTGTATCTGAATTTTCGGGTCCAATAACCGGGTAACCGGGTATTTCCCCCACAAAAAAATAACTTTGCCGTAATCAGGTTAAAAATACCTACCTGTGGTAAAAATTTCAGAAAGATCCGAGTATAGCCCCCTAAACTCAACTTGCTCCACATTTTATTGTACATTCTTATCACAACGTATTTTTTCCTAAGTTATACTTTTGGACAGGATCTCCTGCCTTGCCGGTATCTGAAGATGGCTTCCAACCACAATTCGACCCGCGGATGATATTCATTTACCAACAGCTAACATGTGTATATCTCGGCTTTATATACCATTGTATTCCAGCAAATCAATATTGCGTAGCAAATTGCTCTTGGCTATTAAATCCAAAAATTTTGGTTTTGTGTTTTTTTTGATATTGTTTTCTTGAGACACAGCAGGATGGACAAGTATAAGCTATTTAAGAAATAAACGAATTTTCCTTAAAATATATTTTATGTTATAAAATGAAAAATATTATTTGAAAAAGATTTGACGATTTATAGAGCCCTGCAGCGATGTGTCACTAAATTTCTTGGGTCCTAGAAAATTATAAAATTAAATAAATAATTTATGTAAAGCAGTGCAATTTGTTGTTGTTGCTGTTGTTGTAGCAGTAGTACATATATGTGTTTGCATTCTGCTAATCTGGTTCCAGCTCCAGGTTTAGAAATTCGGCTACTTTGACGGGCTGTAGCCAGAGATCTTCTGGAGTGAGTTGGGTAGGTTTGGCTGTGCAATTAAAGAGATGTAGCGTATTGTGCGGGCCTGTATCGCACGCCGGGCAGGCGTCACGCACATCTTCATCAATTCGTGCCCAATACGAATTGAGACGACTACACCATCCTGAACGTAATTGCGCCAAAACTACCCTGGTTTGTCTAGGCAGCTGACGTTCTTCAGCTGCAATGGATGGGGGGTGGACTCCGAGGACGGCGTTCACTTTAAAACTGCTAATAGCATCCGCGACTGCATCGGTGTGAATGCCACTCAGACCTGCCTGATAGGCTTCTTGATCTAGAGGTTCTCTCTTATAGCGCTGGACCTCCCTCTCTAGATCATGTATGTCCTTCCTGACACGCCTGGGTGGGGGAGATTTATCCACCATATGATGGTTGGGACTCTCACGGTAACACCCAAGCAGGTACTGCAACGAAAGCATATGATTATGCTGACGTAAGGGAAGGACTTTCGCCTCCTCATGTAGATGGTCCACTGGTGTCATGAGGAGGCACCCTGTCGCAGTTCTCAGGGCAGCGTTCTGGCAGGTCTGGATATGCTTCCACTGCGTAGCACTAGTATTCGCAGACCACACTGGAGCCGCATAGCTGACCACAGACCGACCTATCGCGTTATAAGAGGTCAACAAGGTTTCTTTGTCCACACCCCAAGAGCTGCCGCTAGTGCCTTGAGGACCTTGTTCCTACTTTTCATCTTGTCGCAGATAGCTGTGGCTTGCAGCTTTGATGATGTTTCGGAAAATCCTTTCTGCTATCCGAACATCAGAAGGGTTGGGCAGTTCTCTGAAGCGGCGGTTGGTGAATTCTCTGAACTCTGGCCAGTGAGCTTTCCCATGGTTAAGGAAAGTGCGGCGTTCAGATGTTATGAAGTCGGGCGACCTGCTTATGGAGACGATTATCGGGAGATGGTCTGAGCCAAGAGAAATGACGGGTTGCCAAGTCACGTCATTTATCAGACCGGGTGACACTATGGTTAAGTATGGCGAACTGTGACACTCTCCTCTTATTCGGGTGGGGGCATCCTCGTTAACAGTGCAGAATGTGAAGCAGTCAATCTGCTCTGCCAGCGCTGATCCCCTCTGGTCATTACCTAGGACGGAATGCCACAACTCATGGTGGGCATTAAAATCCCCTAGTACCAGGCGGTTATTGCCTACCAATAATGGGCTAATATCAGGCAAATAACGCGGTTCACAGCTATTAATCGCGGGATATACACATTAAGCACCTCTACCTCGGCAGTTCCACACTTGACTGCTACCCCCATACATTCCATGTATGGGTCACTAGAGACTAGCTGAAGCGAGATAGGTCTGTACTGAACAGAATGGTGTAACAGGAACTCTAATCCCCCACCTCCACTTCTGGTGCGATCCTTCCTTAGTACGTTGTAACCATAACAACGTTGTAGGCTGCAATTTTCATTCAGCTTGGTTTCCTGCACCGCTGCGATCTTAATATTCCTCCGACTCATAAATTCCACTATCTCATCTATTTTGCCTCGAAGTCCCTTGCAATTGAATTGCAAGAATGCTGCACAATCCGGAGTTGGAACAGCAACATGTGGCGTTAGGTGCTGCGGTGTTGGTTGCTGTTCTGGAGACTGCGGTGGAGTGCCATACTCCGACGACGTCTCAGAAGAGGACGACGAAGAAGTGGACTCGCTGGGGACTACGTTACTGCAGCAAGTCGCAACATAATCCCTTTCGCTGTAGTCTCGCAAACGCCTTAGTCCGGAACAGTTCTTGAAGTGCACCCATTCTCTGCATCCATTACATCGCACCGAAACAGATCTGTGGTGGATGACGTTCTGACAAACCGAGCAGAACCAAGGTCCGGGGTTTTCCTTAATCCCGGCACGGACCAATAAAATCCAGTCAGCAGTTTGTGGGCTTTTGTTTACAAACAATTACATTTTGATTTGGAGACGTTGCTGTGTGTGCTTTGTTTCTGTGTTTGTGGTGCAATTTATGCTCTCCGTGTTTGTTGTCTTTGACTGTTGAAGTATCTGTATCTTTGACCATGCCAGCTGCGACAAGAACATATACGTGCCCTACCTGTGCAGTTGTTGTAAAGGGCAACCAGAACAGTATTTGATGTGGTATTTGTGGATTGTTTTTTCACATTAAATGTGTCGATGTTTCGAGAGAGCAACACAGTTTTTTGTACAAGCATAGGAAGACAATGATGTTTTTGTTTAAGTGTCCTACGTGTATCAAGAAGAGCACTGATGATAGGGCTACTGCCTCTGCTTCAGTCAACGTATGTACAGAGAATGCTAACAGCGCACTATGGGTTTTTTTACGTTTATTTTGGCATAAACTCTAATTTCAAAGCTATTGAATTGAAATTTGGTTTGTATGCATTTTTTATGCTTCCAAGATGACCTACCAATTTTCATATGATTTGGGGCACTATTTCATATAGCTGCTATATAGCCGATTTGACCCAACTTTTTTGTTTATGAAGCTATTGAAGTGAAATTTGGTTTGTATTAATTTTTTATACCCCAAAGATGACTTACGAATTTTCATATGATTTGGGGAACTATTTCATATAGCTGCTATATAACCGATTTGACCCAACTTTTTTGTTTATGAAGCTATTGAAGTGAAATTTGGTTTGTATTAATTTTTTAAGCCCCCCCAAGATGACTTACAAATTTTCATATGATTTGGGGCACTATTTCTTATGTAGCTGCAATATAGCCGATTTGGCCGATTTGACCCAACTTTTTTGTTTATGAAGCTATTGAAGTGAAATTTGGTTTGTATTCATTTTTTATGCCCCCAAGATGACATACGAATTTTCATATGATTTGGGGAACTATTTCATATAGCTGCTATATAACCGATTTGACCCAACTTTTTTGTTTATGAAGCTATTGAAGTGAAATTTGGTTTGTATTAATTTTTTAAGCCCCCCCAAGATGACTTACAAATTTTCATATGATTTGGGGCACTATTTCTTATGTAGCTGCTATATAGCCGATCTGGCCGATTTGACCCAACTTTTTTTTATGAAGCTATTGAATTTAAATTTGATTTGTATTCATTTTTATGCCCCCAAGATGACCTACGAATTTTCATATGATTTGGGGCACTATTTCATGTAGCTGCTATATAGCCGATCTGGCCGATCGGCTATGATGATTTGGAGAAACATACTGCTCATTCATTACAATAATTATACTTTTGCTAAGCCATTTTGAATGTTTAGTTTTAAATCGCTCTAGTTTACGGATGCACTTTGGCAAATGCTTTTTTATATAATTAACAAAATCTTTCACTTGTTTTGATATCAAACGCATTTGGTCTTCATTTAAACTGATATTATTGATATTCTGTAACACATATTTCACAAGTGCATCTTCTGAGCGATTGTCGCTTCTCCAAATTTCAATAAGCGCTGCATGGACAAACACATGTTTATCTGCAAAACACGTGTTGGCACAAAATAGAACAAAAAAGGCTAGTTACTCATTAATTAACACACTTTTGTTAATAACTTGGCATTTATACCTTTTTGCAATGCTTTGCCATTCACAAGTTACACTCCACGGAACACAACTACAATTTATAGATTTTATATAAAGCTATACATAAACGAAACAATTCACAGTATTACAACAACAGACAATTATGACAAAAAGGGCACCTCGTCTTAATTTTACATACCTGCACTAACGTTTTCCATAATTACACTGTTTACACTAGAATATATTCATTTAAATGTCTACTCCGTTTTCAAATTTGTAACGGACTTTCGTGTACGACTGTGTGATATTCATCATACAGTCGTACTGTCAAATTATAACGAGTGACATTTTTGAAAAACGCCACTTGCGACATCTTCGCTTGCTCGTTGTTGTTTGACACTTACTTGTTTTTTGGATTACGTCCTATCAACAACAACGAGCTTTCTCAGCAACATAAAAAAGGTAAGAATATTGTTCTACGACAATATTCACTCAAATAAAAAAACTCCAATATTTCTATTGGATAAATTACTAAAATACAAATTGTTTGTTTTCTTTCCTTTATTTTTGGTGCTACTTCTCCTTTTCCCTTTGCTACGCAAACATTTGGTCCATTGCGAGCCGGATAAGTGCAACAAGAAATAATAAGGAATTCTGCTCTTTTTCTCCAAAAGGTTTGACTACGTCAACTGGCAGAACAAAACAACAACATTTCCTCATCACAAACATCAACAAAAATAACAAGCAGGTACGTAGAGTGCAAATCAGTGAGCAAACTTTTCAAATAAATTTAAAATAAAACCAAAAAAAATATATCGCTTAACCTACGGTCGTCCAAACAGTGCCGCGCAGTGTTGTTGTTTGTGCTTTATATTCATAAACGAATATACGTATGTATGTAAATATTTATTTTTTCGTTACGCGAAAATAAAATAAAAAATACCAACAAAACGCATCAACTATTATTCCAGTGATCTGTGTTGTTATTATTCTAAAAAGAAGAATAAGTGATTGGTCTTGCAGTTTCCAAAAACATAAAATAGAAACGAAAGAGAATAAGAGAAAAGTGCAATAACCTTTCAACGACTATTCGTCTAACGTTGAGTGGTCACAAAAAAATAAAATAACAACAACGACACATCACTGCAGTGCCTAGTTGATGCTCGATCGCTGCTTACGTTGGTAGGCACATACATACGCACTCAGACACAACAAGCGCTAATATACGAGGGGTCGTTTCGAAAGTTTAAAATACGATATTAGAATAAAATTTAATAAATATTTTGTGTCGCAACTAAATAATTTTCGTACACCCTACATTCGGTAATATCGTTTTTTTTTTTTTAAATATTTATCGATTATTTTATATTATATTAATATATATAAAATATTTTACAAGTTTTTTTTCTCAATTTTTGGAAATTTATTTCGCAATTTTTTGTTAACTGCTTGTCGCTACTTGTGCATCATACAGTCCGTGCACCCTATGATCGGCATTTTTAACTAAAATTGCTTTTTTTGAGAAAAAAGCTTAATTTTTTGTGAAAGTTTGGTTATTTTTGCAGGATTTTTTAATTCTTCTACGAGATTTTTCTAAAATTTATAAGAATTTGTGTTCGCTCCAATACATTGAGTTAAATTTTAGTGTATTTTTCGCTACACTGAGAAAAATTGTTGTTGAATTCATTTCATATTCGCAATTTAAATACTTTTTCTGCATTTTTTTGGCAAGTTCCGAAGAATTACGTTCTTCTTATTGTTAAATTCTTTAAAAATCAGAGATTTTGGAAAATATTGTTGAAATATTTGCACATATTAGTGCTTTTTCTTTCAATTTGAAACAAATTTATTTCCATTTTTTGCTAAAAGTTTTAGACTTTCGTCATTTTTGTTTTCTTTCTTGATTTTTAATAATTTTTTAAAATGTCGCTTACTCCTCTTGACTTTTTCATCCGAGCAACTGACGCTCTAGTCAAGTTCTCTGCAAACTTTTCTGACCTACGGGATGAAGACCTTGATATCTATTCACTTGAGATTCAAGGAAGTGAAGCAAAAGAACTTTGGAGTAAGGTGAAACAGTTATTTGATAAATGTTTAAACTATTTGCAAACATCGGAAGACGCATGTGCAGAGGACATCACTTCAGCTGACAGTAAGTATGATGTCGCTTATAAAGCTTTTCTGCAAGTGTTGTCTGCCATCAATAGAAAGGTAGATGAAATTAAAAATAAGTCTAAAACGTCTGTTCCTCATTCTAATGCCAATCAGCCACCATCTACACCCCGTGTAGATTCTCCTCTAGCAGATGATGTATATTCGATCTCTGAAGCTTCACAAAAATCCTCTAGTCATAGGGACATGGATGGCATTTCACTTAATGATAGCTTGACTCATAGCCTTAATTTGCCTCCGTGTGACATAGATGTGTTCAGTGGTGACTTTCTTTCGTGGCTCACCTTTAGGGATTTCTTCTCAGCTGTCTATATTAACAATTCTCGCTTGAGCGAAATTGAAAAATTGTGCCACCTTCTTAAGAAAACGAGTGGCGAAGCTCGAGATATAGTCTCTAAGTTCCCATTGATGCATAAAAGTTTCAATTTAGCCTGGAAAGCTTTGAAAGAAGCATATGATAATGTGCGTATTTTGGTAAATAATCAACTAAAAGTTCTATTCGATCTTCCAGTTCTTGAAAATGAGTCAAGTTCAGGTTTGAAAAATTTGCAGCGTGGAATTAATAGTTGTGTTTCCGCTATGGTTATTTATGACGTGCCAACCGACGGTTGGGATCCAATTTTGGTATTTTTGTGTCTGCAAAGACTCCCCCAACGAACAGTTACACTGTGGGAACAAAGCGTCAAGAATAAGTCAGCGCTATCATCTTGGAATGATCTGAACAATTTTCTTACGGAAAGAGTTCAGACATTAACTTGCCTGAGAGATATCAAAGGTATAGCTGATTCCAAGAAGGTTGATAATAAAAAGGTTCGGGCACATTTTACAAATGCTGCCAGTTCTCGTTCTACTAATTCTGCCAATTCAAATCGTTCGTCTCCTGAAAAAACTTGTGTGTTATGTCCATCGCAGTCTCATCATTTAAGATCATGTCCCGAGTTCAGAAATCGTTCTCTTTCAGATCGTTTATCTATAGTTAAACGTCATCATTGTTGCAGTAATTGCCTCTCCAGGGGTCATGATGTAAAAAATTGTAGCAGCACTCATAGTTGTGCTAAGTGTAATCGAAGACATCACACTTTGCTACACCGGGAAGCTTTTCAAGTTTCCAGATCTGCAAATAATGTACCACCATCCTCTCACGGCCCGTCCGGTTCTGCTCCTGCTCCTCGTCTACCAGAAACTGCCAATTTTAACCCGAATCTTCCATCTACGTCTTCTGGTCAACAATCTAGTTCCGTAAATAGACAGGTGTTTCATACGTCACAAAATAGGACGGTTCTCTTGGGCACAGCTATGGTGAATATTGTTCACCAGGGTATGACGTATCCAGCTCGTGCCTTAATTGATCCTGCTTCTGAAGCATCCTTTATTTCTGCTAGATTACAACAGCGTTTGGGTATTTCTACAACGTCCACTCAAGCAACTGTTTCAGGTGTTAATCAAACTGTTTCAACATTGTCGAGGAAACTGTGTTCTTTTGGTATTTCTTCATCCATAGATAGTTTAGTACTTATGAAAATTACAGCGTTGGTAGTTCCTACCATCTCTGGAAATCTTCCATCCTTTGTGGTTAGTACTGAATTTTCTTCCAGGTTGCCAAATCTACGTTTGGCTGACACTCAATTATTCGACTGCAGACCAGTTGATATGTTATTAGGTGCTGATATTTATCCTAAAATTCTCTTACAGGGAATGCAATCTAATATTTTAGGTTCTTTAATTGCACAAAATACTGTGTTCGGCTGGATCATTACTGGTCCCATTTCTGCTAGCAACATCAGAGTATTTTCTACTAATGTAGCATATTCTGAAGAAGATGCTCTTAACAAGACACTTCTTCGATTTTGGGAACTGGAAGAAGTTCCAAAGCGCTCAATCTTGTCTCCTGCCGACAAATACTGTGAGGAAAATTATAAAAATACTACTAGAAGGGATTCTAATGGCAGATATATTGTCACTCTTCCCATAAAACCAGAATTATTTGGTCAACCTTATCTTGGCCATTCTAGAGCAAATTGTCTACGACAATTCATTCGCAATGAGGCTTCTCTGCTTAAAAAACCAAATATTAAACAAATATATGATGGGGTGGTTAGGGAATATATAGATTTAGATCACATGAGATCAGTTTCAATCCCTTCCGCAAACTCTACGGTTTGCTATTTGCCTCACCATGCAGTAATTAATCCAGAGAAACAAACTACCAAATTACGGGTGGTTTTTAATGCCTCTAATAAAACTTCAAATGGTAAAAGCTTGAATGATGTGCTCTATGTCGGTCCGACTCTTCAAATAGATCTAGTTCTACTCATACTGAGATGGAGAGTATTCAAATATGTATTTAATTGCGACATTACTCAAATGTATCGCCAAATTTTAGTAGATTCAGCTCAAACGCCTCTTCAGCGTATTCTTTTCCGGTATTCTCCCGACCAGCCTATTCAAGATTTTGAGTTGAAAACGGTGACCTTTGGAGTAAATTGTGCTCCATATCTAGCTATTCGTACTTTGTTGCAGTTAGCAGATGACACCGAAGATGAATTTCCTCTTGCAGCGCATATCCTGCGGAAATGCATGTACGTCGACGACGTACTGACAGGGTATCACAACTTAGAAACAGCGCATCTTTCTAGAGACCAATTAATACGTGTCCTATCTTCAGCTAAATTTGAGTTGCGGAAATGGACTTCTAATGACCGTTCTATACTAGAAGGTCTTCCAGCTGAACACCTAATAGACACTAAACTTTTAGATTTTGTTGAAGCCAGCAGTTCTAAGCCTCTCGGCATTCGTTGGAATGCTCAACTAGATGTATTTTATTTCAATGTAAAACCACTTGCTAAAAAATCCACATATACTAAACGAGAAGTGCTTTCTACTATTGCCAAATTGTTTGATCCTATTGGGTGGCTAGGACCTGTTCTAATTGTAGCCAAAATTATAATGCAACGCATTTGGTTAGATCACATCGATTGGGATGATTCTCTTCTGTCTACGACAATGGGTGCTTGGCAGAAATTCGTTGAGACGTATCAGGACGTCAATTATATTCAAATTCCACGATGGGTCAATTATGTTCCAGATTGCTCTGCCGAACTTCATATTTTTTTCTGATGCCTCAGAGAAGGCATATGCGGGGGTGGTATACATTCGTAATATTGCTTCCAATGGTGACATTTCTACACATTTGTTGTCCTGTAAAACTAAAGTAGCTCCTATCAAGTCGATTTCTCTTCCACGTCTAGAATTGTGTGGTGCGGTCTTGGCCTCCGAACTCTTCAAAGCCATTATCGCTGAGATTGATATTAGATTTTCGAAAACTTACTTTTGGACCGATTCTACGATCGTTCTATCTTGGTTAAAGAAAATTCCGTCAACTTGGTCAACCTTTGTTGCGAATAGGGTCTCCAAGATACCGGACAACGTTGGTCAAAATGTTTGGCATCATGTATCGTCAGAAGATAATCTTGCTGATTTGGGAAGTCGCGGACTTACGCCCGCTGAATTGGCTTCTTCACAAATTTGGTGGTACGGACCACATTGGCTCCGTTTAAACAGTTCTGAATGGAGGTTACGTGACTTGTCCGCTCTTGATACGGATGTAGAAATTCGTGCGGTTAAAAGTCATTTTTCCTACTTCGAAAATTTCGTTGATGTTTTAGACAATTTTTCATCGTTAGATAAGGCTTTACGTCGTCTCATTCGTTTTTAGATTTTTTTACAAAATACATCCTTCTTCTACTGGTCAAAATATTGTTCAAGGACAAGCTCCTTCGAGCTCCGAACTGAAAAATATTAAATTAAGGCTTATTGTTTTGGCTCAAAAAGCGTATTATGCCGAAGAATATAGTTCTTTATCTAACAATAGGTCCTTAAATTCAAAAAGTTCGATTTTGTCCTTGAATCCCTTCCTGGATGATGCAGGTGTTATGAGGCTAAATGGACGTTTAGTTCGATCACCTACTCTCTCATACTCAGAACGGCATCCTATTTTGCTTCCCTATCATTGTAAATTCGCTCGTCTTCTTGTTGAGAAAATGCATTTAATTTCCATTCATGGTGGAAATCAATTAATGTTGCGTCTTATTCGCAGTGAATACTGGATTCCCAGATTAACCTCACTCATTCGCAAAGTAATTAGTAATTGTAAACCTTGCATTTTAGAAAAGAAAAAAGCTTGTACTCAGATTATGGCTGCTCTTCCCCCGGAACGAACAACTATAACGCGACCATTTGCCACTACAGGTGTCGATTTTGCTGGTCCTTTTGACCTTAAATCTTTTACTGGTCGCTGCTGTAAAATTACGAAAGGTTATGTTTGTGTTTTTGTTTGCTTTTCTACGAAAGCAATACATTTAGAAGCTGCCTCTGATTTGTCGACGACAACATTTCTAGCAGCATTTCACAGGTTCATTTCGCGACGCGGATGTCCTAAGACTGTCTTTTCTGACAATGGCACCAATTTCGTTGGTGCTTCTCGAGAATATGAGCGTGAATTCAAATCACTTGTTCATGAAAGTCGCGATCGGGTATGTTCCGCATACCAGTATCAAGAGCTTTCGTGGAAGTTCATCCCGGCTGGTGCCCCACATATGGGCGGCCTCTGGGAAGCTGCGGTGAAAAGTTTTAAAAAACATTTTCGAAAACACGCTATAAACATTAAATATACTTTTGAAGAGTTCTCTACGGTTCTCTCGCGTATAGAAGCTTGTTTAAATTCTCGACCGCTTTGTCCGATGAGCGATAGTCTGGATAGTTATTTGGCTTTAACTCCAGGTCATTTTTTGGTAGGATCTCCTATTTTATCCCCTCCGGAACCACTAATACAAGAATCTCCCTTGCATATCGTCAATCGGTATAGAAAACTTAAGGCGCTTACTCAACAGTTCTGCCTACGGTGGAAGGAAGAGTATTTAAAAAGTCTCCATAAACGCTATAAATGGAAATTTCCTCAGCGCGATATACAAACGGACGATTTAGTAGTAATTCGACAAGAACAATTATCTCCAACATCCTGGAAATTAGGTCGGGTCATCAATGTTTTTCCCGGTACCGACGGTCGCGTACGTGTCGCCGACGTAAAAACTGAAAATGGCATTGTGAGGCGTCCGGTGGTTAAGCTGGTCGCTTTGACCAATTAGATGTTTGTTTCCTCGCCATCTTTATTTTTTTTCTCGTAGCATGGAAAATCAAAACAAGATGGTCGCTACTCTTCCTGACTATGAGGAAGATGTCCCCATGTCGGATGAGGAAAGAGATGTCGATGATATGGTTTTGGTTCCCCTTACGGATATTGAACTTGCTCCCAATTGTTGCACTGGTACCAATGTTGATGCTGCCGCTACTCACAATGAGCCTGCTCTCGCACTTTGTGCTGCTGTTATTCAGCCTGAGACAGCAATGCAGCCTACGACCGGGATGTCTTCTGCGACAACCACTCCTCGACGAGGAATTACACCGGGTGGTTCAGATAGACGCTCTGACGGCAAAGACCCAGTGGCGACGCCGAAATCAACTGCGGGCTCAACGGGTTCCAGTAAGCGCCGCTGTAGTTGGTGTCACCAAAAACACCATCTTCGGCAATGCGGGCGTTTTAAGAGGCTCAGCTTGGATAAGAAGATCCGAACCGTGGTCAAGCACTTGTGCTGTTCCAATTGTTTGGACTCGGACCACTTACTTCGTGATTGCCGCAAAGATCCAGGCTGCAAGCAATGCAAGGGCAAGCATCACAACCTGCTCCATCCTTCTGCCCAACTTTCCCAACAAAATAATAATAACAATAAAAACAATTATAATAAAGATAATAAGAATAATAAAAATGCAAATAATAAAAATACCAATAATAATATTAATAAAAATAATATTAATAATAATGGTCCGTCTACGTCTTCACGTAGCAACAAACGTCCGTCCGTACAAAGTACTCCGTCCGCTTTCTCGTCGCATGTAACTACGTTACATAGCATGGCAATCCAACCTATTATCACAATAGGGCCAACTATCGTCGCTCAATTGGTTTCCCACACAAAAATAATACCAGTCCGAGCAATGCTGGACCCGTGTGCAGGTAGTAGTCAAATCTGCAATTCGCTGGTCAAGTCGTTGCGACTGAATACCACCCCAGTCGGGTCCGACCGGTTTGCCCAATTTACACTGGTCTCGACCTTCGACTCCGCCCAACGATTGTTGGTATCCGCCCGGGTTACAAATTTAACCCATCGTTTGTCCCCAAACCAATCTGCCTCGGAATCGATAAAGGAGCACTACCAAGGTATGATGTTAGCGGATCCGCAATTTTTTAAATCGTCCCGAGTAGCCGTGGTGTTGGGTGCCGAAGTGTACCCTAAAGTGATGAAGACCCAGGTATACTCGAGCCCTGGATTCCCATGGGCCCAACTTACCATCTTTGGATGGGTTTTGTCGGGTCCATGCCCAATGTGATTTCTTGCTGGGACACTTTCGCCAGAAGAGCTCGCCCGTGCCAATCGATCATTTTTATTGCGCGGCAATGTGCCGCTTGCTCTGCGAGCGCAATATTACCAATACAAAGAAAAAATGAATAATAAAATTGAAATTTGAATTTTAAATAAGAAAAAATGTAAAATGAATTTATAATTTATGTACTTAATTTAAATTGCAACATAGCAAGATGTTGCAAGGCTGGCGGCAATGTTTACACTAGAATATATTCATTTAAATGTCTACTCCGTTTTCAAATTTGTAACGGACTTTCGTGTACGACTGTGTGATATTCATCATACAGTCGTACTATCAAATTATAACGAGTGGCATTTTTGAAAAACGCCACTTGCGACATCTTCGCTTGCTCGTTGTTGTTTGACACTTACTTGTTTTTTGGATTACGTCCTATCAACAACAACGAGCTTTCTCAGCAACATAAAAAAGGTAAGAATATTGTTCTACGACAATATTCACTCAAATAAAAAAACTCCAATATTTCTATTGGATAAATTACTAAAATACAAATTGTTTGTTTTCTTTCCTTTATTTTTGGTGCTACTTCTCCTTTTCCCTTTGCTACGCAAACATACACATTTTATTTTTTTTCAATTTTGTCAAATCAGAAGCACTTGAACTTAGCTGATCTTTACCGCCAGTTGTACCAAAACAAAGTGACTTTCAAAGCTCGCCAGCAAAAAAGTGTTGCCACCCGTATTGATATTAAACATTTTTTTTCTAATATGGGTATCTACATTTAGGAAATCAGTTAAATTTCAAAATATGAAACCAAAAAAAAATGACTTTATGCCAAAAAATCATGCTTTTTACCCATAGTGCAGCGTTGAAATTGGTTTTGACGTTATTGGATCAATGCAGAAAGAGTTTGAATCTTACAAGTTATGCCTTGAGAAACAATTTGAGAGCTTCATGCTTAAGGACGTTGTGAAAACGATACGGTCGGAGGTTGATGTTAAGATCCAGAATGTTGAGGAATCACTCCGTCGCTGCCAAGATGCTGTCAAACTTATTGAAAAGGCTAAGCAGGAAACAGATGTTGAAAGTGATATTCTTACAAAGCGCCTCAATAGATCAAATATAATTATTAGTGGCTTGCCTGATGGGATAAAACAGTTATGAGAACCAGTAATAAGAATAGCTACATTGTGTGGTGTTGATGTGTAACCTGGCGATGTCAATCACTGTTGCTATATCTCAAAAGGTAAATCTATCCTTGTGAAGTTCAATTCTGTGCATGTTAGAGCCAAACTTATGGCTAGTTACCAAAAGCGCCGAAATTCACTATTGCTTAGTGATATTACTGGGGTAGGTGTGAGAACCAGAGTGTACCAAAATGTTCACCATAACCGTGCATCCTCTAAATTAATGTACCCCTACCGAAAGCTTTGGAGAAGCAATAAGATCCGAAGATTTAAGCTAAAAAGTGAGGACAACCCTAAGGCATTGGTTTTACTCCCAGATTGTAGGGAGGATGAATTTGATATTCCCCGGTGTATCAGTATGTTAAATGGCGATGTTGTTTCTGCTGTGGAAATACTTCTGTTGGTGGTGTTGATGCTGTTGTTTCTGTTTCACAGCGGAATGTTGATGTGCTGTTGTAAGTGGAGCTTGTTGAGTAGTTTAGTGTACTGTATATTATTTATTTGATATTTATATTTTCTTGGATTTTTTTTGATTTTGTTATTTGTTTACTATTGTTTATATTTTGCTCTTTATTATCATTATGAGTTTTTTAACCAGCTTAGGTGGAGTTTTTAGTGATAATCGTTTTTTGTCGAATCAGCTATTTAATTTTAGGGAAAATGTTAATGTTAGACATATAAATGTTAGAAGTTTTAACTTAAATAAGAATTCATTTAAAATTCATGAAATAAGAAATATTTTAGAGGGGAAACATCTTAATATTTTTGGCGTGACAGAATCTTGGTTGAAGCCTACAATTTCAAACGAAGCCATAAAAATACTTGATTACGTTTCATATAGGAGTGATAGACCTGGTAACATAGGAGGTGGTGTTGTTTTGTATGTTGCGCAGGACATATGTCATAAACTTGTGTGTAGGGAAAGTTCTTATGGTGTTGCTGAATAAGTTTTTTGTGAGGTAGTTGTTTATAATAGTTCTTTTTTAATTGGTGTTGTTTATTTGCCTCATGGTGATATAATGGCATTGGAAGATGAAATTTCTGACCTTGTTGTAAGGTATTCCGATGTCATTATTATGGGGGACTTCAATAATAATATGTTTGATCTGACCCGAAGTGTATTGGTGCGAGATGTTTGTAATAGTTTAAATTTGTCTGTGGTGCATAATTAATTGCCAACACATATTGATGTTGCGCACAATTCAACTTCTTTGTTGGATTATTTTTTGGTGTCGCATTAGAGTCCATTATCGTGTTCAAATCAATTCTCCTGTCCTGGCATTTCTGATCACTCGTTTATATTTTTGTCTCTGAATGTACCTCATTGTCGTAGCCGTCTGTATTATGAATATGCGGACTACAGTTCTGTTGACCCAGCAGCTATTTCGGATGCTTTGGCTTTATGCAACTTTGAAGAGGTGTTTGCAGTGAAGGATGTTGATTCACAGGTCAATATTCTGAATTGTGGTCTTCGAAGTTTGCATGCAGTTGTTCCAATTAGAAGAAGATTTTATAAGAGTGATAATAGCGATTGGTTTAAATCTTCTGACATCCGATATCATGTTTACCTTAGAGACTCTGCATATAAGGCATATCTTCAAAATAGGAGTTTAGATAATTGGATGATTTTTTGCCGTTGTAGGAATCGTGCAAAGAAGATTATAAGGAAATAGAAGTGTATTGCTCATAAGCAGCTGTTTGTAACTAAAACCACAGAAGAAGTGTGGTCAATATTAAATAAGAATGGATTGTGTGATGAGGAAAGTGAAGTTGATAATGTGGATGTTGAGAGGCTGAATTCTTGTTTTGTCTGTAACCAATCTGTGGATGTCTTCGATATTTCTTGTATTCCAAGGACGACTAATGATGGATTTTCGTTTCGGGCCATTAATTACAATGAAATTGTTTTTGCCTTTAATAAAATTAAGTCAAAGGCAATAGGCTATGATGGCTTCAGGCTTAAATTTCTTAAAATTGTGTTCCCTTTTGTTTTTGTGCTGCATGTTGTTAATACTATGTTGACAGTGTCTGCATTTCCTGAGGTCTGGAAAGTTGCTAAAATAGTGCCTATCCATAAAGGTGGTGATTCTGATGAGTACAGACCCATATCAATAATGCCAATTCTTTCCAAAATGGTTGAGTATGTATTGAAAGATCAAATGCTTGAATATATAAATGAGCGTTCGCTATTACACCCGAGTCAACATGGATTCAGAAGTAATCGTAGCACAACATCTCTTCTGGTTGGATTGACTGATAATACTCGAAATTGTGTCAGTGCTGGTGATTGTTGTGTCCAATTTAATCAGCAAGCTACATCGTTTTTCAATTTCTCGTCCTCGGCTTGCAAGTTATTGTTTTCATACCTGTTCGCAAGAAAACAGTATGTATGTTGTAAAAATGTTGTTTCCAGTCTTCTTCCTGTGAGTAGTGGTGTGCCACAAGCATCTGTTCTTGGCCCTCTATTGTTCGTCATGTATGTTAATTATTTGCTGAGTTGTATTAATGGTAGGAATTTTATGTCATTTGCATTTGCTGATGACATTCAAATTTTGTTTAAAGGAGAATATGTATTTACGGATGTGTTGCAGTCATCAATTGACTTTAATGTTAATATGTTGGTTATTTGGTTGTCCTGCAACGGCCTCTCAATTAATACGCCTATAAATGTTGTAAGCACGATGAAATGTCTTGGTTTGTTTCTTGATTCTGGTTTGGTATTTGATGTGCATGTAAATTCTTTAGTGTCCAAGGTAAATTTTGTTTTAAAAAAGTTGTACTGTTTGGATATAGTTTTGCCAAAGAAGATTAGAATTCAGTTGGTCCATGCCCTGATTATGCCTCACTTTTTATATTGCATTGAGATTTTTGGGGGTAGTTGTGGTTTTGTTTTTCGTAAGTTGAAACTTTTGTTTCATAGGGTTATGCGATATGTTTTTTGTGTTAAACGTCGTGATCATATATCTCTTGGTTGTTCATTTGATTATTTTGTGAGTTTAAGGTCAATGTTGTTCTTCTACAAACATTTTAAATTGCAGACACATTCTTCTCTTTTGGATCCCTTTAAGTTTTCTAGATCTGTAAGGAACCCGCAAATCCTTATACCACACTTGACTCCTCTGTTGGAAAAATCCTTCTATGTTAGAATTGCTCGTATTTTCAACAATCTGCCGCCAAATCTTAAGACATTTAATTCTTCCTTAAAAGTTTATAAGCGTAAATTATATGCTCACTTCAACCAACATATTGTTTACAAATTTTCACGATTTTCTTGTTTGTTTTTGTATTTCTCTTGCATAGCTGATTCATCTTATTATTGAATCAATTGTTATTTTTTATTTTTGTTAATTTGTTTTAATGTTTAATTTTAATTATCTCTAAGATTAAGAATATTATAAATCATTTTAGAGTAGTTATGTATAGAAGTTTTTGGAACCGTCCATGGCCCTATGGGCTAGGTAACCGTGCTAATTGAATATAAAAAAATAAATATATAAAAAAGTTCTTTTAATTCAGAGCCGCCTCACAAAATATTCATTCCTAAATCAATAAAATTATTACGTTGTACTTTTTTATAATATTGAATATATTTTTACACACTTCTCACTAAAATTTGTATGGATTTTTGGTTTTAGTGAACCAATTTCCAATACCTAATGCATATATGTTGAGTGAACATGAAGTTATTACCAATATTATTCATAATAGCATTGATGAAATGTATTATTATAAATATGCTAAATAAATAAATATTCGGAATTAATAAAGTATTTTTAACCAAATTTATAGAATTTTCCATATAACACATTTTTTTATAGGGAGTGTCAACACCCTATAATTCTCATGTTTTATTTTTTGGATTTTTCAATTATTGGATGTGAATTTTACAGCGTTACCTAAAATTCGATGTATTCAGTCGACGTTTTTCACCACACAATTTAAACACATGTATTTATATGAGAGTTACCCAAATACTTCGGTCGTAAAAAATTTTAAAGTTGAACATTTTCCAACTTTTTTTTTTAAATTCGATGCATTTAGTCGACGTTTTTCACCACACAATTTAAACACATGTATTTATATGAGAGTTACCCAAATACTTCGGTCGTAAAAAAATTTTAAAGTTGAACATTTTCCAGGTTTTTTTTTGTGTTGAAAACATAAATGAGAAACGATTAAAAATTGAGAATTATTTTAAATAAAAAGTCTATAATTTTAAAGTGTTTTAAAGTATAAAATACAATTTCACATGCAAAATCAAAAGTGGTTCCAAACCGAAATCGCTTCTTTTACTAAAGAAGCGAAA